CGCCCGTGGGTTTGGGGACATGGGATTGACGATGAACAAACCACTGAGCCAACATGCCAGAGTACACCCAGTGCTCCCAGTGCTGCCCATGCAAGTACTGCGCCACCCCCTGTGGCATCTGATGACACAAGGGAATGGAGGCCACTCCCTAGAATGCCTTCTCGGAGTAATGAAGCTCGGGTGCCTGAAAATCAATTGAACCAACCACATGGTATTTACACTTGCCGATGGAGACAAACCTCCCTTTTTGATGTTGGTGAATGCAACACCCTGCCACAAGCCGAAGTTTGTCCACAGGAGGTGCCGCCTTTTGGTAACCTCCTCCAGATTGACGCATCCAGGTTGGTAGGTGTATCTGTGCCTGAAGTCAGAGACCCCTTGCATTTGTGGTTTTTGCGCCATCAATTCATTTCGCCTGGCTTGAGACTTCAAATGCTTCAACATCAGGGCCCCATTTGGGCAGATGATGAGCTCAGACACCAAATTGGTCTCATTCGAAAAGATTTCATCCTCAGGCAAATTAACTGCTGTAGTCCACCAATCAGGCGTATCACGGTGATTGACCCATTGCTGACAGCTGGCTGGCTTGAGGGCCGAGGAATTCTTCCCCAACATTGGGCGGAGGACCACGATATGGTTTTGTCTCAACAATGCCCAGTCTTGACCATTGTGTTTGTGCGAGACCACTGGATTCCGCTGTTATTGCTCCCTGAGGGCAAGTTGGTGCGAACATTCTCTTGGGATTCTGGAACTTCTCATCAACAGTTTCTCACGAATGTTTTGAGGTTGATTGGAACGCATTTGGGATTTCACCAAGTCTATGTAGAGCACATGGTGCGTGATTTCAATTCATGCGACAGATGTGGAGTTTTAGCCATTGGTTTTCTCCGCCACATGCTTTTGCAAGAGAGTCTCCCTGCCTGCCGTGCTGATGTGATTGAAATGCACGACCGTTTTCGCATGTCTTTTGCTGCTGCGATTCAACATGCTGACATAGTTGACCGGCCGTGGTTGTGGGGTCTGGGTGATGAAGAAAATGACGTTGAGTACACCGGCATGCCCAGCCAGGTTTTGCCTGACACAGGCTCGACCGAGCCCCATCCCTCTGCCGAGGGGAGCGCTGTGCATCTCCCAGGAACACATGAATGCATTTCAATTGAAGCCCGGTTGGAACTCCTCAGACAACATGGCCACCAATGGGGGAATGATGAGATCTCGTTTCACCTTTCTCACCTGTTGAAATTCCGTGCCAACTTGGCCATGGCAAGTGATGATGCCCCTGATGGGTTTGTTATGTTGGACCCCATCATTGAAGCGGAGTGGCACAATGGGGGTAGTGATGGGTGCAGAGATTGGTGTCTTTCTCACCCCTTTATTCGCACGCATGGCTTCAGCATTGTCTCTGCTTTCTTGGTCCATGAGCATTGGTTTCCGGTATGGTTTTCTCCACGTGATTACACTTTGCAGGTTCATATCATGGATGATGTTCATGCTGGAACACCCACCTTTATGCCCATGGTGGAAATGATTTCCGAATTGCTTGACTTCCCCAATGTTGCTCTTCATTGGATTCCTCCAAGAATCTTAGGACATGACTTGTGTGGTGCGATGGCCCTTGCCTTTCTGGGTAATGTTTTGGTCGGGTCTCCCATTCCAGACACACTTGAGCAGCTGCGAAATTTTCAGGCCAACATGAAAGCCACATTTGTCCAGGCACTCTACGAGGGTTTCTGCTGCCATTGTCCGAAGTTCTGGGGTTCAGGTGGCACTGGTTTCCTCACCAAACAACTTGCACAGGAACTGGTCAAACACGGTGTTCCGGAAGACTTGGCTGATACGCGTGCTGCTGAGGCGATCAAGGCCATTGGTTCTGACCCCATCACAAAGGCTTTGCAGGGGAAACAGGTATGGCGCCAGTTGAAAACACTGGCCAACAACGTGAGATACAAATTTTTGTTGCCTTCTGAATTGGCCCAAGTGGTTAAACAAAACGAAGGAAAACCGGTTGGCAAGAAAGCTCGCTTGTTTGCTGCCAAAGTCACCATGCCATCAGACCTTGAGATTGATCCCACTAAGCTCTTGCTTTTGGATGGGTGTTTCCGCTTTGGACAACATGCCGTTGCACAGATCAGCCTGGCCCAGGTCGGTCCAATCGCTCGAGGGGTTGCCATTGTCTCCCCCAGTGAAGCTGAACCGTATTTGCGAAAGGGTGCAATTTTGTCCCAGGAGCCCCTGGCACTTGCCATTGTGGGGGACAAAGCCGCCATCGCCCCTACCATGCTTGTACATGTTGATGTCACAGTGCCATGCAGGTGCACAGTCAATCAAGAGCCTATCCTTGCCGACGTGCGGTTGGTTCAGCTAGGGAAAGGCCACATTGCCAAACATACGGTTGAATCCCCTATTGCACTTGATGCACTGGAGGTGTTGACTCTCAAGGTTTTGGTCTACAGGGATGAAATAGGAGGTCCATGGGAAGACTTTTGTGCCGCCCCCATCAAAAGCTTGGTATCCACCTTCCCTGCATTGGCCCGATGTTTTACCACGGGGTGTCAATGTTCTGCCTGGCACAATGTGAACGAATTGCCTTTGCGTGAACCCATACTGGACGTCTGGCGCCGACAATTCCTGCGCAATGGCTTCAAGCCTACGACGTCTCAGCAGGCTGATTTGTTTTCAGTGTGCATCCGGATCCCGGCTGAACTGATGCCCATTCTTCTTGCTAGCAGTGGGAACAATGGATGTTACACCGAGCCACGTTCTGAAGATGGTAAGGAAGTCCTCAAAGATTTTGTCGTTGTGTGGGCGCCAAAGATGCCACTCCAGGATTTGCTTCACTGCAAACAGACCAATCCCGCGGTCATCGGGGTTGCCCGCACTGGAGACAGACGGGGTCTGCGCGTTCGTGCTGACCAAGCCAAACAAATTCATGCCTTGCTCAAACCGGATGTCATGTTCCTTCCAAGCGGACCAAGGTTAGATTTCCTTGCAGGGCCTTTTCCCTATGGAATGGACCGTGCGGCAATCGCCCGAGCTTTGAAGACCACCGAATGGGAGGTTAAACCCCTCCAGCCAACTGCCCCGGTCCCTGGCCGAGGGACCATGTGGGTCCTACAGGCCGTTTCCGAGCCTCCAGAAACGGTGGTACAGACAAGCCATGGTGAGGTGGTGATTAGCCGACGAAAATCCAATGAAGGTGGGCCTCGACCCCAAATGGCCCAAGCGATTGGGGATGCAAGCACCTTATCGCTTTGCGGCAATCAGCCCACGGCCAAATCATCTGCTGAGGTCGACCCATGGTCCAAGCATGATCCATGGAGGAGTTACCAGGCTTCTGGTCCAAAACCGGCAGTGACCCAGGAAAATGAAAGCCTCCAACAGTTGGAACAGCGCATTCAAACTGCGGTGCTTGCCAAGCTCCCTGCCCAGCCTATGGAACAAGACGACGTTCCAGACCGCATTGCTGTTTTGGAGAACCAAGTCCAGAACCTGATGACCCGGCACCAGGGAATTGAATCACAATTCCAGGATTTCACTGTACAGAATGCCCAGCAATTGACCTCCATGCAAACTCAGATCAATTCTCAGACGCAACAGATTCATGGACAGCTCGAATCTCAAGCTCAGTCAATTCAGGCCTTATTTGAAAGTCAAATGGCACTCCAAAGGGTTATTTTGGCTATCAGTCATGCTGCTGTCCATGAACGTGGAGCTCCTGAGTCGGAACCTGAGGAAGTCGGGATGCCTCCCGCTTCTGATTTCTGGAAGGGCCTTCCCTTTTTGGAGAGTTTCCCTGGTGACGCCTTTCGATGGTATCCTGAACGACTTGTTCGATTGATTTTTAGCTGGTTTCTTCAAAACGTGTATGCCAGTACAGCTGATGTAATTTGGGTCAGTCATGCTCAATTGTATTTGGCGTTTCAAATGGCGACTGGGAGTTTTGGACCAGTGAAGAAAAATGTTTGGTGTGACGGCGATGACAACTGCTTGAACGATATTGCGGGGTTTCCTTTCCGTACCCGCGTCAGATGGTTTGCCAAGGTCTTGCGTGAGACACTGAGGAAATGTGGAATTCATGTCCACCATATGTTTGGCCGCCCTCATTCAAATGTGCTCAAATTTCACACTGGAGTTCTTGCTTTGCCTTGGAAGCAACATCAAATTGATTTGGTTGACCAGTGGATCCTGAAACATTTGCCTTTGGGGGTCAGACGTGTTGCTTCACCCATTGACCGACTGCCGTGTGCCCGTCGCTGTGGTGAGTTTGAGGAGGTCTTCATTTCATGTATGTAGTCGGTCGAAACGGACCGCCTTCGTTTTACCAAGGCGGTGCGCAAATGAAAGAGGTGAAAGAGGTGGTGGTTTGGAACATGTTTTTATTTTTCCATGTATTGGGAATGTCATCATCCCAACTGACGAACTCCATCATTTTTCAGAGCGGTAGGGCTCAACCACCAATCAGTAATCATTGATAAACCATATTATTCAAGATCATTAACCATATATTAACCATATATTCACCTTTTTTATCAACAGTATATATGCATAAAGTATGAGCATTTCAGGGTCAGATTCCGTCCGTTGGGATGATGATCCTTCCAGCGCCAGCGACCGCTGCCACGGTGCCCTTGTGCGGCGTGCCGCGCGTGCCGCATGCGCGACACCACGCGAAAGCTGGGCTGAAGCTGCATAGTTTGGGGCCCTGGAATTCATGCGGTTAGCCCAGCTTAAGAAGCCACAGAACATAATGTAGGGTGTTTAAGTGATTCAACCACTAAGAGAATGGAGTTTTACAACAATACAAACTTGTGATTGACATGGTTAGCTTCGCAACAAGCGATACCTCGAATTTATCGCACCATTTGGAAGTTATATATTGCAAGTCATGCATGCTTCAGGTGTACCACGTTAATTCGTAGTTGAAGTTATGGTCATGTTGCGCAACAAATGCTGCAGCGAAAAGACAATAGCAACCCTGTTTGCACCAGGGGAGGCCCACCATGGACAGAGCCAAGGTGCCTGTATTGAAAGAGGATGGATAGTTAGAGGAAGATGAATGAAAAATGAAAGGGGAAAAAGGAACAAAAAACTGAACACTACCAGCCAAACATTCAAAGTTTCGGTCTGTCGTTACATGTTATATATACATATATAAGTTATGCATGTTATCTCAAAATCTAATCTTATCTAAACCCAGTCTAAACAAATGCAACGCAATTTCACCCCATCTAACCCCATCTTACCTAATCCAACCCAATCTAATCTAATCTAGTCTGTCCAATCTGCCTAGTCTATTTAACCTATCTAGTCCAAAGTGTAATCCGTGAACTTGCCCAACTTTGGTTATAAGTTGGTGATGAATTGTTGGATTGATAATGAATTAACTCACCGACTAATAATGTGATGATTAATTGGTATTCATAGTTTTTTTCATAGTAATGAATATTAACTCACTCATAGTTTTTTTGTGATGATGGTAACAGACTAAAAATCGTGATGTGATGTGACATTTTACTCTCCTTTGCTTCGAAGGAAGCTACGGAGCTAGGGCAGCTAGAAATGCTCCGAGCCCAAACTGCTAGGTTTGATCCCTACAGTATGACTATCATGTGGGTAAAACAATGTCATAAACCACCAAAATGACTGGGGGATGGTAAACATGACTAATTTATGACTGTTTTTTCCCACATGATAGTGTTAACATAGTGTTTAACCTCAGATTTTGACATCTCACTGGTGTCCCAGGTTGCTGCAGCTTGGCTCCTCTTGTGGGCTTGAGCCTGGCAGCGAAGCCACGGAAGCCACGGAAGCACGGCACGGCGCGGCGCGGCGCGACGGTCACTGAACATGGGGTCAAGCCATTGGGTGGTTGAAACATTTGGATCAATTTGGGTCAACCTTGGATGATGGATAGGATGGAGATAAACTGTCATACCCTCTGGTAATTTAACGTAGCTACTGAAAATGGCCATTTATAGTTGATTTACCCATTAAACATGGTGATTTTCCATAGCTACGTTAGTTTACCACAGGGTAGTCTGGGATATGTCTTGCAATTTCGTGGAATGTTTGGTCCATGGTTGAAGCAATGTGGATCTATTTGTCAAAAAGAAATGGCAATTTCAATTGGAAGAAGGATGACAATCCAGCTGGGGCTGGCGCAAGCCTCCAGAAGTACCACTAGACAGTTGACCTACCAGATCTGGATGGATTACCCTCTGGCTGTTCAACGTAGGTGTGGAAAACCACAATTTTAAATGGGAAAATCACCATATATCATCATATATCCTCCAAAAAAAAACGAAAAAAAAACATATTCTATATAAATAACCAGAGTGTATAGCCACACACTCAGATGTTTGAGTGCTTGTCGGCTTGGATGGGATTTACCACACAACCCACAACCAATGGAGTGCAGGTAAACAACAAACCAAGAAACTAGATGATAGCCGAAGGCTTTATGATCATTGGAGCTGACATAAAGATCTTATATTGACTTAGGTCCCGTGTGTTTAGGATCCCGTCCTACCTGGAATCCTGACCCTTGACTTTCACACGCGTGTGGCTCACCACTGATCCGTGAGGCTTTGCGCGACTTTCTTCTTCAGTTGGATCATCGGAATCTGAGGCGATGCTTCGCGGCCAAATCTGCTAGACCGTCCCATTTCAGGAGGGTTACCCTCTGGTAAGCTAACATACCTTGCTATGGGAAATGGCACATAGAAATAGATGGTTTACCTATGAAAAATGGGTGGATTTTCGATAGCGAACTGTTTAGTCATAACCAGAGGGTATGTTCACTAGCCTTTCTGCCTATCACTGTCAATATAGGTCTGTCAGGTTTGTCATTGGGGTTTTCACATTGCAATGCATCCCACAGTGAATCGACTGGGGAAGATCATCCCACTGAAGTCCTTTTGAAATTGGGTGGATGAGCCCTTGGGATCCCTTGGGCATATGAAATCAGCACAGAGACTTCGATTGTCCGTTGGGTTAGTTCACCTAGTAGAGAGCAAATGGATTATATTATATATATAATTATATAGTTGGGTATATCCGCCCATCTGGGCACACATCCAGTTGGTTTCCCAGGAATTGAATTGTTGGTTGTATCGGATTTATATCCCCATAAAATGTCCCCTGTATATGTGTATACATATAGAATGGGGATAATTAAGTGGGGATTACATATACATAATATATTATATCATATTATATATATAATTTATATGATTTAGTATATGCATAGTAATAGTCATAATTAATACATATATACTAATATTACATCCCAATAACCCGTGGATCAAGTCGGCCACTTTCTTTACCTGGCGTCGGCCAAGTCGTCGATTTCCTCAGGCGGGCCCCGTCCAACTGGTCCAACTGGTCCAACGGGACCGTGAATGGCAAGAATTTGGAGGTGAAACAGTTGGACGTTGTAGGATTCTGGGCTGAACTAGCCTCTAAACTAACAAAAAACTATAGAACATCACCAGTTTTACCCTCTGGTTATGTCAAAGGTTTGCGACATAGAAAATGGCTATAGAAATAGTAGATTTTCCCATTAAAAATGGTGATTTTCCATAGCAAACTGTTAGTTTACCAGAGGGTAACAGGTAAATCAACTATTTCAATATATGTTCAATAGCAAACTCTTAGTTTACCAGAGGGTTTATTAGTGCACTGCATGGTTACCCTCCAGTAAACATGCACCACTTAGAAGGGCATGGCTTTCCCTGTCGGAAATTATCTACACATTGCTTAAAGCATCCTCGTTTGGATCGTCCCAGTATCTGATGGCAAGCAACAGTGATCTATCGTAGGTCCCTCACTTTTTGCTTATCAAAGTTATATCTATAAGTTATATAATTCAATAGATATAGTTATATCTATAAGTTATATATCTATATGTTATATCTATATAATTCAATCTATCCATGGCCATCTATGGGCTTTTTTTAAGCCAATTCTCGATTCCCGTGCCAGTCGCTCCCAGCTCCGCCAGTCAGGAAGTTGGAGCGACTGGGAGTTTCAAGCGATGCAGCGGGTCGGCCCTAAGGAGACGATGATCCGATGGGGCGACGAAAGAAATGATTCATCCAGCTACGTCATGGGTGTGTGTGTAAATTGGTGTCTATATTTATGTATCTATACATATTATACATAGTTATGTGTATAGATATTCAAGTTTATGCAGATTATATATATTTATATATATGTAATATTATAGACATTTGGGGAGGCCGGCATGTTTTTTTTTTGCACTTTGTGATGGTTTGTCATGGCCAGTTGATCGAAAGCTTGCTTTCAACGGGCCAGGAGTTTGCTGTGGAGGTCGCCTTGTCTCATCCTGGCGGTGAATTTCAGAGACTTGCTGTGGGTTACTGTCCAGTAAATTAACGTGACGACCCTGCCAGATAGGGGTTGATGATGAGTGATTTTCATGATAAAAAAATGAGTTTTTCCAGAAGATTAGATAGATTTATGATAGATTTTCATGATTAGATAGACCCTGCCAGAAGATGAGTTTCCACTCAAAATGGGTGATGTTCATGGATTTCAGGGCCCTTGGTGAATTGACCAGAGGCTTCGGCGCCAACTTGAGGGTCCGGCCAAGGGATGTCAGAAACCACGGGCCTTTGGATGGATTCTAGTGGCGGTGATACGGGCCCCACGGTTCTTCTTTGAACCATGTGCATACATTCCACATGTCAATGGTGTTTTTGAAAACAAACCTGTCTTTAATCCTTCACCCATCCTCTAGTTTCAAACCTGAACATGTGAAGACATTGGGTGCATTCCAACAAAAATCAGCAACATGCAGCAAATCGGGGTGATGCATTGGGCTGTCAGTGGCTGTCCCAGGATCGTCCGAGATCGATCCGCGGTGGCATTGATGGCAGTGTGGTTTGGTGGGCGATCTATAGATCGATGGGCTGGCAGCCAGTGAAATATGTTGTTTAAACATGTTTAAAATGCAGCTTGGAAACTTGTTTGAACAACATGCATGAAGCAGGGAAAGGGAGCTCGCAGTGGCAACAGCCAACCGAAGATGATTTTGCAGTGGTTGCAGGTAAAGTGAGTCTTGATGCAAGAGGTTGACCAGTTTTACATTAATTAACCAAGGTCACATGTCATGACTCACTTTTCTTTGTCAAGATTCGGTTTTGGGTTCGTTCAAACTGTAGTTTGTGTTGCTTAAACGCACGCTGGAGCTTATGTTTGCGTGGCTAATTATTCCATGTTTGCTTGTCAAAAAAAAACGATTGATCTTCAAATACATTATTTTTGGTTGACCCCTCCGTTGTTTTGTTAGATGCTATTTCTTTGAAACACATTTCACATATGCTATCATATGCTGTAGTTCAACACCAATTTGACTTGCTCCATTTGTTTGTTGAATTCATCAGATAATTACCAGTTATTTTTGGCAACCACCACAAAATGGAAAAGTAAAATGCGAGTAAACTCGTCTAAACTCTAAACCTATTCATGCCTTTTCAATGTTTTCCATTTGTTTGGAGGTTCTTCTTGAAATTCAACGATTTTTTCTGGTTGGTGGTTTGGAACGTGGCTTTGATTTTTTCCATATATTGGGAATAATCATCCTATAACTGACTTTCATATTTTTCGGAGGTGTTGAAACCACCAACCAGACAACTATATAGGTTACTGCAGATGTTATTTTCACTTTCAATCCCATGTTTGATGGCCGAATCTTCCTAACTGTCCTAACTGATGGGGTTTTTCAACCGCCAACCAATCGTCTGATGTGTAGAATCCTCCATTCAGACGATCAGCGAGGCGACTGGTCGCGGGTCTTCTACCCCGGCGTCGCCGGTGCCGTGGCGGGCCCCGACGACGAGGGCCATGGCGTGAACTGGAGCTTGGATGGCCGTGCGGGGGACGTGTGGCGCGGCACATCGACCGTCCAAAAAGAGATAAAAAGAGGGGGTTGGATGTTGGAAGATGAGTAATGGATAATTAAGAATGGATATAATAGTGGATATAATAATGGATATAATAATGGATAATAATGGATAAGAATGGATAAGAATGGATAAGAATGGATAATAGGTAAATGGATCTTATTATGGATTAGTTTACAATGTTTACATGATTCATTTACCTTATCATCCATTTCGGGCGTCTGTGTCAATTTGATGGAAGGTATTGGAAGGTAAATGTTGTGTTCAAACTCGATTAAAGGCGGCTTCTATCTCCAATTTTGCCAGTTTGTATCCCCATGTTTGTATGTTTGTGGCTTGAATTATGCAATGCTTGAGGCGTCATGACCCAGATCATCTACAGATGATCACGGATGATACTTTTACCTGGCTTTACCCAAGCATCTCATCCAAGTGTACCGTCGGTAAAGAAACATACATGCTTAATGTATGTATTGGTCTATATATGTATGTGTATATATATATATGTATATGTATATATACATATTATACATACTTTGTATATATACATATACATGCTTGTTCTGCACATCTTATACATAAATGGCCCCATAGATATGGATAATCTTATGGATACATTGGATGGATGGATGGATCGATACCGCCCCAGCCACCCCAGGTTCCGCATTCGCATTTTCTGCAACGGCGATGGTTGCGGCGCTCGCGCTGTTCAGTGGCAGTGGCTGCGTTCGGAGGTTGAAGAGATGGAGACAGGCCAAGGTGGGAAACCTTTGAAGCTTTAAATGGGCTAGTTGAGTTGGTATCTAAACCATTGGAAAAAGCATTGGCTTGGTATGATTTTGGCATAAATGAAAACCATCTAGGATTGTTGGCATAAATAGGATATAATTTGATTTACCCTCCAGTAATTATTCATAGACCCTGCCAGATAGGGGTTGGAAGACTAGTTTCCACAATAAATTGGTCATTTTCAGGGTCTATGTTAATTTACAGGAGGGTAATGGATATAATTATGGGATCACTGACGGTTTAACTGGATGATCAGAATGGGATAGTTGGATATAATTGGTATAAATGGACACCATCTAGGATAAACAAGAAAAAGTCTTTTCAGCTTGATGTGGGGTAAATTGGAGTTCTTTGGGATTAGATTCTAAATATCATGGGATGATCTGGGGTAAATGGGTAAATCAACAATTGGGCCTGAACAACAATTTTGTTTTTAGAGGACAGTTTGGCTAGTGCTGTTGCTTTTGCAGGAAAAACGGGAAGCATTTAAGGAGATTAACCCGCGTGAACCTTGGTAACGGGTTGTTTACCAACAAAACAGGGGATGTAAGCAACAATAATAATAAGTTTAGCTATGTTATTTCTTGTGATAATGCCCGGCTATCTCTATATATTTTAAAAGGCATTTGGGATTTGCCATGCATGGCAAGAGCCGCACTTGTCAATTGCTAGCAATTAGTATAAAGATGCGTGTAATTTCTTAAGCCTGCCAGAGGTTGACACTTCAACGCTTGTTTATTCCGGCAACCAAAGGTATGATCGGTATGATAATTAAAACATTGTCATCACACAGTGGAATTAAAAAAAAAACACGGACGTGGAACATACTAATAAAGGAGATGCCCCAGTTGTTAAGCATGGCAACCTTTTTCATCTCACCCACCTAATTAATACCGTCAGAAATCCAGCTTTAGTAGTGAATCTGTTATTTTAAGGGGTCCTGCTTTTTCGCATTAGCAGGGTGGAATTGCTGCGCCAGAATGACATATTATGAATGGATTCTGGCTGACTATCACAGCTGAAGAGGGTGGAAACCAATAGGACCAATATATACAGTTTTGCTGGAGACACTTAGACAAAAAATACAAGTTTTTCTGAAATCTGTTGGGGTGTTTGTGATGCAAATATCCACGGTGATAGCGCAATAGATAGCCAACCTGGATCATATGAACTCGTTGCGATCAAGCATGTAAACTGCATCAGACAGAATGCAAGTGGCAGAGGGGCCAGATTGAAACTCATCCTATTCGAGCTGCCCAGGGTCACTCGGGTCACTAGTATGGTTCTTCCGATCCGATGAATGGATTGGTTCAAGATAATTTGGATTTGTATATATATATATATAGATTATTACATGTATGTTTTATTTTGTTTAAATATGTATTTATCTATATGCATATATGCACATACACACATATATAATCATACATATATATATATATATATATATCAATCATGTATGAAAGCAGGATTTTAACACCTTAAATTTAAATTGTTTCTGTTTTTTTTTCTGTAGATCTGTTCTCAGACCGATTCTGGGATCCAGCAGTTCGACTTCGATCTTTGTCCACTTCCAGGCTGGTACGATCCATTGGAGCCATCATGGGAATCAGCTCTACAAAGATTAGAGGAGCTGAGGGCTGTTGGGATAGGATCCCAATGTGGCCAATATGTGTCACTTGGGCAATTTTCTTGCGATCGTAAACAGCAACAATAAGTGATTGCTCAACTTGTTATTCTTGCTGTTGATATATCTTTGGTGATATGCGTATGGGCCAAGAAGTGAGGCATCAATATTGGTAGTTGCAACAGACATCAACAGATGGTTGCCGGTTTGCTCCAATATGATTCCATATCACACTCACATACACCAACATATGCCGGGATGTATGTCTATATTGCATCTCACTAGACCACCACAAAGAATAAGTAAATTTAGTAAATGCTCTCTATAGTACAATATCAAACAACCGACACACATATATATATACATATATCTGTATAACATATATATATGTATATATATATATATATGTATATATATATGTATGTGTATATATATATATATTCATGTATAATGATTTTTGTGTACGCGCCTTTAAAGGTTTTTTTCATCGTTCTCCGTTACGTCGCAGGACCTCTGGTCCCGTGAGAAGCAGTCCGTCGAGCCCAGCGAGGACGACTACTGGCAGGTCATCGCTTGCTGCGAACGCGGACCACCGGAGGCGAACGAAACGGCGCAGCTGCTGCGGCAGGAGGTGAAGGAAAGGAGATACGAGGCGCGGTGGATGACATTGGATGATGGTTAACGGGGAAGAGGAAGAGGATGGGTCGGATGGGGGGTTGGGAATTTGACTGGAACATGTTGTTGAAGTGGCAGAATTGTGGATGAAAACCAATTTAAAAGATGATCTTGGTGGGATTGCCGTAGTTCCGTTTGGAAAGTTTGCAGTTGAAATATCATTGTTTCAAATCCTGAAAAATTATGGATATTATTTGGTTCCGGTAAAAATGTTCCTGTAAACCAGTGCTGGGAAGAAGCTGTACGGTCTGGAAGGGATGGAAAGATGGGGGTTTAGCATGGTGTAACTTCAGCAGCAAACTGGGGATGTAGCCAATGTAGCCAACAATGCAGTTCGCAGGGATGGAAATTTGGGATGGGCCCTTAGGCATACCATAGGACAACAAAAAGGACATGGCAAAGGGAAAGACCAATTCGGAATGGGTAAAGAATCCATATGTCATCAGATGTCCACAAAAAAAGTGTGATTTTTTTGTGTGCGGATGGGAAGATGAGGTTGGGGTTGGGGATGCCGTGACCTCATGGGCTGATTGTATGGTTAAGTTGCTGCAAAACAATTACTTTCTATGCCAAAATTTGGGTGCAAAAAATTGGTTCGTTTTGACCCTGACCGAGGCTCCCCAAAGAGAGGTGATCCCTGACCTAACTTCTTGAGCCCGTAAGTGCACGGTGTTCCAAAGGTGATCCCATCAAAGATTCAAAGATGAGATTCACCGAAGATGCCAGGCCTATCCAGGCCCCAAAACAGTTTTTAGGTGATGCGTTTTTTTTATTCCCCCTTTTGGGTAACATGAAGAAGCATGAGAACATACTCATGCTATCCCGCCATCGCCAGGGTGTGGATCGCTTCTTCTTGACACCACGGGTCTACTGGATCCTTGGACTGGATAAGTCGTAGGGGCTGGAAGCATCGTAAAGTGATGTTGTTTTCAAGATGTGTTTCTTTATGTTTCTTTGGAACCTCCAAAAGATTGCAATTTATTCTGGAGAAGGGCACTTCTTGTGGCGATCCCTTCGGGGGTGCACCCCTTTTAAGGTATTGGTTCGGGTCATCCCACTTAGACGCCAGCACTGACCACAGCTACAGTTGGAATGATCCTCCAGTCAGGTCACATCCCAAATAAGGCCAACAGGGTTATTACAGTAACTCGCACCAACCCCTCAGGGTTGCGGGCAACATGAAGCCCATATAAGCCCATAGTGTTTGGCGGTTGCCCTTTGGTGTGGTACCCTGAAATGTATGTCGGTTTACAATCCCTACTAAGTTACTATAGGATACTATAGGTCGGTATATCCACCATAATTCCCAGCCCTAGCTTACTTAATTACTTACAAACCAACTTAGCTAAGTCCTTTAAGTGTGGGGCACCACCTTGTAGTTGTTGCCAACATGACTGGAAGGCCATGGATGTCGCAGCTTTGTTCCTCCAGGAACCGTGATGTGCGTCGCATGGGATGTGGGGCTTCAAACGCTTTGGACGCTTGGGGCCTGGGGAGATCTTCGATGGGTGGTAAATGGTTTAGCACCCTTTTGGGGGCTATACATGGGGATGTTAGAAAGCAGCTTTCAAACAAACATGCCGGATGTCTAGGATTGGCCATGCTCTGATGAATTAGCAGCTTGAAGTTTGGGTACACCACAAGATGTCAGACATGCCAGACATGGCAATGTTGGTCGCATATGGCCTTGGCAACCATTTTTTTGTGCAAGTTTAGTGCTTCACAGAGCAACTGGTTTCGAGTCTTTAGCTGTGCGCTCTAGCCTCGGTTATGCTCCAACAAATCTATCCCATCCATCTTTACAGATCCCCTGCAGGGGTGGTACATGGGGTAGGGATTAGCCACAGCAAAGTCAGCATCTCAATGATTCTTACATTTGATTGGCATGTTTGCCCGGTGGATCATGGTATCAACCTTTCCATCAAACAAGTGTTAACAATGTTTGTTGGTTCACCATTTTTTCGGCCCCATCGATAACCATAGTAACTAATCATAGATATATCTACCATAAATCCAACAGTTAAAATCAGTTACCCTCTGGTAAACGTTTACATAACTATGGAAAATCACAATTTTTAATGGATAAATCCACTATTTCTATGGCAATTTTCAATAGCTATGTTAAATTACCAGAGGGCCTATTTTTGAACGAGCTTATCAAACAAAATGGGGCACCACCTTGTACCACCGAAAACTGTGGAGCACTTAGGCCATTGGAAATGGGGACGGTTTGTAACCTTTGAGCTGCAGAGGCAATTGTGATGCTGAGTGATCTTAGCGTTACAAGGACTTAAATTTCGGGGTAACATGGTGATTATACAGTATGTATGTAGAGTAATTTTGTAACAAAATAGGGTGATAATCATGATCTCATATTTTCTTAATTAGATATTGTGTCATAGAGTTGGATAATGGGTATACAGGAAAGCCCTATATTTGATGGTAAAAACCATGGTTTTCTGTTAAAATGTTCCCTTAAATCAATCCAGTGATTGTGGATCATGTTTAGTACATTTTTCTGACACCTACCGACACCTCCAAGATCTCCAGACAAGTCAGGCAGGTGTAACGACGGATTTTCTCCACGGGCTCAAGCCGATCGCTTGGATCGACTGAGAGATATTGACACAAAAATCCTGGTGGTTCCAAACCGGAGATTCAAAAAAAACGTTTGTTTTTTTTTTTCTACTGCAATGCTTGATTTTAAGTAAGTGCCCTTATCAATGGAGATCAGTGCGCATCGACATGCCAATACAGGGTGCGATCAAGATAGCCTTCACTTGAAGCATCCTGACGAGCGCCTCTCTCTACAAAATCATGTGCAAAAAAAGGACCGTGTGCAGATTTGTTTGCAGAAAATCTTTCCGAAACCTCCGAGAAAGCAGCTGTCAAGCGGATACCCTCCAATAAGCATTTGACAGAATACTATAATACAAAGTTTTCCATGTTTTTCCCATCTCATGTCAGTGATCACCTGTGAGTTTTCCGCACCAAACTGGGCCCTTCCCGCGTCATCGCCATGCTGTCAGTCAGCAACGTGATTTGCGAGGGAGAAACCGGAAAGTTCGCCGCCAACGCGGAGAGCATTGGGTGGCAAGGAACCTTGCCCAAAAGAGCAAGGATTCTTGTGGTCAGGAATGGGTGTGTTTGGAAATAGGGTGCACCGATTTCAATCATGACCATAATCATCATCATGATCATCATGATCATCATTGATCATCATTGATCATCATTGATCATCATGATCATCATCATCATCATCATCATCATCATCCTCATCCTCATCCTGAAGCGACATCCTACAGCGAAGATATTTTGGAGCACCACTTAGATGGACAATAAGGTGCTCTCAATGGTGTAGCAACGCAGTTCTCATTTGCTCATTTGATTTAGTGTATTTTTTTCCTCCTCCTTCACTGCTTGGAAATTGATGCTTGAGTTGCCTGATGTTGGCCCATCCTTGCCCCCATTAAGTATACCACTTGCCGAACCCTTCGCGGAAGGTTGTGGATCTATTTACAGACTACGCACACACACACACGATATATATATATGTGTGTGTGTGTACATGTGTGTATAGCAAAGAAATATACAGCAATAATATACAGTATGTGTTTTTTTTTGGTATTTATTTTGACTATGTAGCCCCTAATTACTAATTTCTTTTTCTTTTAAGGATACACCATATCATTGTGATATACATTGATATACCCCCCGTGAACAACCACATGCTACCGCTGGGTCCCCTTCTCAGGATCCTCCGGCACCACTAAGGTGCGGGCAGGGCTCCAGGGCTGAGAGTAGCTGACCAATTTCACCCAGATTTTTGTTTGGAGGGGAAAAAAACGGTTTGGTGGCTATGGACCATAGGAGACCCAATTCTTGTTGATGATGTCCGCGTTGGACACGATCCTATGCAAAAGGTATGTGATCCCCAAAAAGTTGGGAGGATGCCGGATTTTTTTTAGTGGATGATGGTGGGTGGAGCGGCAGGTGCTGCCGGCCAACTCTGTGCGGAGAGCGGAATGGTCTGAGGGACGCCTGCGCTTGTTGTGCGAGCTGCCCGAGGGTCAGACGGAGGTGGGGGAACCTCGGGGACGAAACCAGGACGACAGGGACCTGGGATGATTCTCCCAACTTCCAGCAACTAAATCATCCATTGATAGATGGGATTTTCCATGATAAACCATATATGTTCGATTGTTTTCGGGTACCTCCATGTATGGAAACCTCCATATCTTCCAGAAATCCCACTATTAACTTACTGAAAGTTGGTGAATCAATCATTTTTGAGGTGCCCGAAAGTGGGATGACCCTCCACACTCTAGATCTTCATCAGAGACATTCAGAAACCCTCCACATATCATTACCTCCAAAGCATATCACTAGTGAAATAACATAGCTATGGAAAATCACTATTTTTAATGGGTAAATCCACTATAGATGGTGATTTTCAATAGCTATGTTAGTTTACCAGAGGGTATCACTACTGAAAGTGGTCAACCATTGGCCCTGCTGATTCACCAGCAATTTCCCATGGCCCTGCTGATGGGTCAGGTCTTGAAGTTGGACAACTTTCAGGCCACCGACTTTGATCCCCTGTGGAGCCTTGGATTTTGCTGATGGAACCTTCAATATTTAGGGAAACAGTACCTGAAATGGCCAGCATTGCAGCTATATAATGTTCATATTTATATATATATATATAATATACATATATTATGTATATAATTATATATTATATTATATTTGTTTTTCCTCTAGCCCATGGTGTCTGTCGACGCGGCCTGCTCAAATTCTGGCTGGTCCTTAAATATATCCTAATCTATATATCGTATAACACAATTTTGCTATCCAATCTATCTAGGGCGTCCCACCTTGTATAGCGGGAGCTGTCTTACAAATATTTTTCTTGTGCGGCATGGCATTAAACTAGACTGAGAATACAAATAAACCATCCAAATTCATGATTCATGGGCACGCTGTTGCAACCGTCCAGTAAGCCAAAGCACCATTGTGCATCACATTGACCGAGATTTCATGCCAACTGGATCCAACCCCCGGAACTGACCAAATCAGGAGGTATTTGGAACAGAACTGCGGAGTGTGACTTGGTTTTGCACCACCTGGGAGTTTCAATTACCGTTGGGGGGTCTGATGAAGATTTAGAGTTTGGGATGGAAACCACGAATAAAAGGCGGCAACACGAGAGCAACACAAATTTGATGATGGACCAGTTGTGTGTTATTAGGTGTTTCTTGGTTTTAAGTTTTAAGGATGTTTTTGCACATTTAGCATGATGTTTTGGGCTCACAATTATATATGTTTGTTTATGTTTGTTCATGTTTACCCTCTGGTAAACTAACATAACTATGGAAAACCACCATTTTTAATGGGCAAACCAACTATAAATAACGATTTTCAATAGCTATGTTTGTTTACCAGAGGGTAATCGTGTTGTGGTGTTGGAGGACCCAGCCGCTAGTTTCAGCACTATGTGGTCAAAGATCTTCGAACTTCTGACCCGTAACACGTAGCAACCCCCAGGCAGATATAAGAAATAGACATATATTCGGAGACTTGAACGGTATAGGAAAAATATCATGCGCAACATCTTGGAGAAAACACATACTGTTTCCCTCTGTACGCACACGTTTCGTCACAGGATTTCCCATATTTTGATATATGTTGTTCTTTGCTGACTATTGTTGGAGTGTAAAGGAAAGCATTTGGAAGCTCAGGTATCTGAAGAAACACAAGCCCATAGCAGTTTCTTGGCGGCAACATGTGTTGCAGGGCCAGGCTTTCAAAGCTGGATGGACCCCGGTGGGGTTGGTGAAATGATCAGTTTTATTCGTCGTTTTTATCGGTGAATTGGTTGAAGGATCGGTGAAATTTGTTTGCGAAAATCACATTTTTCCGGGCCCTTCACAAAACGTTAAAGCAACCCTTCACAAATCACAATGAAGTTTCATATCATTTCAGAATTTCAGTAGATCAGGATACATCAGGATACATCAATTCCCAGTTTTCTCCATAAAACCAATTATCAATCCTCTTTTCTTGGGACTCCCTATTGTTTTCCTCCGAAGAAATTTGCAAAAACCATGATTTTCCTGACTTTCCAAGAGATGAAACCATACTAAACCATATTAAACCATCTTAAATTAAATCCATGATTTCCAGCAGTTTCCAGCTTTTTCCCGATTGAAACTCCGCCGCGTCAGCGGTCCAGGTGCTGGAGGAGCGCGACTTCGACGGGGCGCTGAAGGGCATCGAGGACGCGGCGGACCGCGTGGATGAGACGGCGCCTGGGTCCGTGCAGAAAAAGGCCAAGGACGACTGGACGGGATGGGAGATGCTGTTTTTTTTTTGATCACCATTTTTCAGTTTGGTAATTCAACTATCAATGGGGGATTTTCTATAGCTATATATGAGTTTACCGGAGGGTATATATATATAGATAGATAGATAGATAGATAGATAGATATATATTATGAGATGCTAACTGGATATAGGAGCCAAAATATCATGGATAATCTACACATATATCATCATATATCAATATATGGGGGTTTCCTAACATAGGGGTACCCCAATAGCTGGCTTGTTCATAATGGAGAATCAGAAAAACAAATGGATGATTTGGAGGTACCCCCATTTTAGGAAACCCTAATATGAGGATGGGATATTAAGTAACACACCAACAAAAAGATAGAAGTGTAAGATCTGGATTCCCACTTTTCGTGATTGGTTTGGTCGATTTTTTGGGAGATACTAATGGAGAAATAAATGGTGTTTTTTCGGATTTTGAGAGGCCAAGGAGTGCTGGATCCACAACGTGCTGCCCCCAGTTTTGTTGACATATGTCCATCACGAATCCTAGTTAACCCTAGTGTTTGTTGGTGAAATCTGTATTTTTGATGTTCCCAAGGAGCCGAGTGAACACAATGGATATGGCCTATGGCTGGGATATGTTGGGATATGCTGTTGGAACATAAGTACAGTTGGAAAAAAACATGATATTGATATCAACAACATATCCCAGTGTATAATCTTTGGTATAATCAACTTTGGTATCATCAACTTCATATGATTCCGGGTGTTTGAAAATGACATATGCGGCCAAGGAAGACAACCCGTGGCTGATGCTTGCCATGTGGTTGGTGGCCCCTAATTTTCACACTAAACTATTGGTGAAGTCCCTATGTAGGCGGATACATACATATGTATATATATATATATAATTATATATATATTATATTTGTGATATTATAAGAGTGTCAAAGAATGACATGTTACTTCTGGATCATCAGATGAGAGTTTAGATAGGGGAAACATGTAAGATTAGCCAAGGGCTGTGGGTTTGGGGAAAAACATGGTGAATATTGGTGAATAACTTTAGGAAGGTCAAGGAACTGTTGGCAAAGTGGAGGAAAAGCATGTTAAACTGGTTGGTGGTTTGGAACATGTTTTATTTTTCCATATATTGGGAATAATAATCCGAACTGACTAATATTTTTCAGAGTGGTTGAAACCACCAACCAGTAAAAAATGGGATGAAGAACCAACATTGATTTGATAAAAAAAGGGCATGACGTAGACGTTTACTATGGGTTTTGTTGATCATGATTTTGTTTGTCGATGGGAAAACATGCTATTTGGAATTGGATGTTGGGGTTGGGAAGTGTCTAGCAAAATTGAGGCTCATCCCTAAGCCCACTTGACGAAAAGCATTGCTGTTCACATCTATAAGGAAACGGGTAATTGAAATACATTTGAAATACAGTTGTTGAAGAATCATGGCCTCATTTCACAAAGATAACTCCACAATACTCCACATAAAACAAACATAAACCGCAAAAATCATCATGTATTCCTCAAGTTCCAAGAGATGTGGCCCTGGTGGCGTCGGAACGTCGGAACCAGGAGGCGGATCTCATGAAGAAAGTGGAATGTCTTCGCGATGGCCTGGATCAAGCGGTCCTTTGCGCAAGGGATGGCCGGGATGGTGGAGGTTTGTGGAAAGTACAAAGTGGTGCAACAAGCTTAACTAGGTTAAGTCTTAGGTTAAGTAAGATTTATAATGGACATAGAGGCATTCAGGAATATCCCCATAGTGAATGGGATGTATAAACTATAAACCATTACAAATCCACTTTATTGTGGCAATCATAGCCTAATCCTGCTCCAAAAGGAAATGAGCAAAATCTACATTTCTGGGGTAAAAATTGAGAAACATGCAATTTTTGTGCCGACCCTTGATCTGCAATGAGTCATCCTGACTCGAAAGTGAATCGGAATCAACGTTTACTGAACATTGTGGTTGTTTCAATTCCGACGTGTTGCTCGTCGTGTGTTTCTTGTCTGTTGTAAAAATGGGCTTGCCGCCATAGAACTGACGACCCCGATTGGTCATCATTCATACCAGCAAACCACTGTTTGTTGATTTATTGTTTTGTTTGCTGATTAAGTGCCATTGTTCATTGTTAGAACTCTCATCCATTGTGGAAACCGAAGACCCGTGAAAAAAACACCCAGTCATATCTATACCTTGAATCCAATAGCTGGCCTTCTCAAATAAATCAACTTGTACTTAGCTATAATATACCTAAAATATCCGATTGTTGGTATTAGAATCCCTATGAATCCCTATTTTCAGTTGTTGAATCCCAATTGTTAATAGTTTACAAAAATGGTGCCCCCCAGTTATAAGTAGCTTTCTAAACCACAGTAACTAGAGATATATCTACCTTAACCCCTAGTTATTGGAGTTATGTTCACTAACTTAGCTAGCTGTGGGGCACCATGACCTACCATGACCCTAGGTGAGTGGCGACAAACAAGCGCTGTCACGCGTCTTCGCAGACAAGGGCTGCGAACGTATCGGCCGCCTACGATTGGTGGTAGACACAGTTCAGCTGGAGGTCTGGTGAAAGCGCTGGTAGCAGCGCTGGTGTAGGGTGGCTGGGGAAATCCGGGATGGGCATATCGAGGGTATTTATAATATAATGGTTTCTTAAAAGCCTGATGTAGCGTTGTGTTCACCTCTCCCCTTAGTTCTCATGTTTTTTAAACTTGAAAAAAAAGCAAAAAAAAATGGAAAACACATGGAACATCAAACAGCAAAACTTCAAAACCGAAAAAAACAGGAAGCAAAATAAATGGGAAAACAAAGGAACGTCAAAAAGGGTGAAAACATGGGAAAAAATGGACTTGTCCATTTGCATTTTTGTTGTTTTTTTTTGCTTTTTCGATTTGCTTTTTGTTTGCTTTTGTTTTGCTTTTATTTTGTTTTTTTTGCTTTTTGCCTGGAAAAAACATGCTTTTTGCCTGGAAAAAAACAAAATAAAAAGCAAAAAATTAAGCAAACAAAAAGCAAAACGAAAAAACAAAAAAAATGCAAATGGACAAGTCCATTTTTTCCTCATGTGTTCCCCTTTTTGTATTTCCTTTTTTTTTTTTTCCCTTTTATTTTGCTTTTGTGTTTTTTGGATTTTGCTGATTTGCTTTTTGGTTTTTCCATTTGTTTTTGCATTTTTCGTGTTTTTTTTTCAAGTTTTAAAAAATAAGAATTAACGGTGGTTTGGTGAACTTAAATGTCGCGTTAGTTTAATCATAGATGGAGATCTTAAACTGAAAATCATTGACAGAGTTATGGTAATCGTTTGCTATGAACCGGGATATATACACTCACCAGTTCGTGGGTGGATCCATTGTGGTGTGAGGAGTTTCGTTACATTTCGAGATATTTGGTACAAAGTGGTGCCCCATGGTTAGCTAAGGTTTATAGTTTTGACTAACATAAGTATATATAATATATATATATATATAGATAATCTAGATATGATAGAGTTGCTGGTAGATGTAGCGATATAGTTGACGATTTTCTTAGACCAACTGCTAAACGAACGGCACCGCCTTGCAACTATTTCTCCATAATGTAGGATTTAATTACGGTTGTGCAACTGTGCATAATTCGATGCAATTTGTGCTCGTGTAATTGTAGTAATGGCTGAGTGGACAGTTCTTTTCCCGGACTCTTCAATATTATTCTTTCGAATGTCAAAGATTCTTGGTTTGTCTCAATTTGAGACATTCCATGTTCAAGAAGGGGTGCAATGAAGCCTTTTGCTGTTGAGGAGGTCTTTGGAAAAACTGGGGACTTAAGAACGAAGATAATTGAAAAGTGTTGCATCATATTTGCAGTCCCCGGTTGAGGGTGCACAGAGGATCCTGCCCTTTTTCTGCAAATTTCTCACATCACACGTTATTAAGTGGTTTTATATGCTAACATTTACCATCAACATACCCCAGTCATGTTAGCATATATGCCAGCACCATGGATCCTATGGGAAAGGCATGGTTTCCCAACTAAGTGCAACTTCATCCCAGTACTTGGAGCTGGCGAGGTGTATCACACAGACGAACGTTGGAAGCACTTGCTGAGCAACTTGGACCTCACGTCGCGACCGAAGCCTGGAATCATGGGTTTATTTTAGGGAAATCATCCCCAAATGGCCGCAAGATTCAGGTTAGTGAAATACTATAATTTACTCAGTACCATGATAACCTGATCATAGTGCCTGCATTACGAAAATTCACCATGACCAATTGGTGCGACTTTTAAGGGATATGTTACGATATGTTGTTTTCGAACTGAATTATACCACGCCATTTCCATAGTTCCCAGGATTAACTCTTGATTTTTTATGGTTCGCCATGGTAACCAGCTTAGCTACTGCGTGTCACGTTGTGATCATGCCGAATCGTAATCTCTGTTTTGCTTTGAGTCCAAATGGCTGGCTGATGGTGCATTTGTGTTGGAACAACAAGAACACGTTTACACACCCTATTTTGGGATGATGACCGAAGTTGACTGTTTTGAGGATGGGTTGACAGAAAAACCAGTTGAAATGGTAAAGAAAACCATGCAGGAAAACATTTTTTTACACTGAACATCACTGAACCAGTTTTGTGCATCACCACCTCTTCATCTCCAAATCACCTTTCCAGAAATAGTTTCGTTGAAATTTGCGATTGAAACCCCCGCTAGAAGGGCAAGAAGGGAAACACACGCTTTCTGTTTCCGAAGTGTATGCCATATCAATCCGACATTTTATCCCATCACCATTTTATCGTGAGTTTTGGGCACCCAAAATCCAATCTACCATTACGATCCATTATGATCCCCATTATTTAATGGTCACTTCTGGGCTCATATGTATCCATATGTCAGATTCTTCCCATGACCACAGCTCCTTCAAACCATTTCAAATTCCTTTCTAAACCATAGATGTCCTTTTCCCATTGGTTGGTTGATTAATAGAGGGGTTTGAAACTACCTCTTTAACAACAGGTAAATGATGATAGATGGTATACCAAATCGGCCCCTCTATTTTTACCAAAAGGACATTATTGTTCTAAACCCTATGAACTGCAGTTCTGATTATAGTCACGAAAAACCCAAGAATTAATCTACTTATAAAATCTTATAAACACATATAAACACATATAAACACATAAAAGCACATATAAACACATATAAACAATGATACATCAAATGAAGCGAAACTCCGGGCACCACCTAGCACCTCAAGGCAAATGCGCCACCATCGAGTCCTTGCTGAAGGAGTTGGGTGCCTTTCGTCATTGGAAGCCCAGCACCTCGGTGCCCGTTTGCTCGGACATGTTTGCCATGAAATAGAGAAACATTACAAGTCTACAGTTGAACATGGGTAATCATGGGTATAGGTAAGTCATGGTCAGTAATTAAGTAAGTGAATTGATTGTGGCCATACATTCAGATGTTTCCTTCTTTTGGGGTTGACCACAAAAACTGCTGAAAGTTACAGTAAACTTTCAGCAGCGGATCAGCAAACTACTGTCAGTAGGTGAACATGTGAGTAAATCTGGGGAATGGCAGGTTATCTATAAGATGAGCCGTGCATAGCCGCGCGATGGCTTACAGGGTGGGGAGATGCACCAATAAAAGACAAAAGCAAATTGAGCCGTTTACGACATGAGGTGTTGGTACATGGTGAAATTCACTTCTTGGTGTTTTCAAACATCATTCCATTCATATCCTCATGATTTGAAGAAAATGGCAAGCAATTCCATTTGGGCCAGAAAAAAAGTTTCAAATGCTCGACGTATTGTGGCGACTTTACCATCATTGATGTCACTGCTGGGGTGATGTTGCTCACTCCAGTCCTACAGCTTCCCCAGAAGATGGCCGGTATCCAATGTGGTAGTGTTAGACCCAATGATAAATCTCGCACCCTTGGGGCATTGGCATGTTGGAATGCTTAGTGGCTGAACATTAGGTTTACCATGGCTTAACACAACATGTTCCTGAACCTATCTGAACCTTGCGTCCTGTTGGTGCCATCAGTGAGGCAAAGATGGTCACTCGGAGAGCCTTTTGAGGCGGGGGGTCCGGTGGATCAGGCACCCTGAAGCTTTTTCCTTCTGCACACTCGATACCAACCGTAAGATATGTAGCAAACATGGCATGAAACATGTTAATTAACTATATGAAACTATATGAAACTAAATATAACTATATATAACTATATATATATACAACTATATAGAACTATGTATAACTATATGTATAACTATATATAACTATATATAACTATATATATAACTATATCTAACTATATCTAACTATATATATATAACTATATACAACATATATACAACATATATATATAACATATATATATATATATATATAACATATATATATAACATATATATATAAGTAACTATATATATATATATAACTATATATGTACTATATATGTATTATATATGTACTATATATTATATATATGTATAGATACATATCATTTATTCAGTAATTACATTTCTATATATGACATATATTGCTATATTTAACATAGATTCGTACAGTTTGCCATGGCTTTAGTGGGTCAGTTCACCATGTTTTTTTTTTGGTCCGGTTTTCGGTCAGCCCAAAATAGCGCTTTTTGTAGATGCTGAAAATGTGTTCCCCAGTGTTTTTCCTATATTATCCCAACTAACTATAGATATCATCCCACTTTTTTCTATAGTTGTAACCCTCTAGTACTTTAACATGACTATGGAAAGATCCACCATTTTTCATGGGAAAACTCACTATTTCTATGGTGATTTTCCATAGTTTTTTGTTAGTTTACAAGAAGGTAATAGATATTGACCCATCCCCTATGTTTCACGTTTGACACGTGGAAACCTCCAGACCTCACATCTCTCGCCTGCATTCAACGCAGTCATTCGACTCAAGCTCACCTCGACGACGGTGCAGCCGGCAAAGCCCGGTGGCCCTGAGCAAAAGCGGGTCAATGTCAACCAGTGATGCTGGTGCTTGTGTAGAGCCAAGTCGTGGCTCAGATTTATTCGATCTTTCTGTACAATGCCTGAATGGGGAAGGATGCATGTTGAAGCTCAATGGTTCCTGTACTGGTTGGGAAGTTTACCGAATGGTTTCAAAGCAGCTTCCTCAGAAAAAAGGTGCGCAACTCACCCTGCATCACCTTGACTCATCTCTGATACTGCACAAAGAACTGCAGGCGCAAGGCATCATGGGCAAGGCTGCAACACTCTCGTGCACCTATGTTCCAACAGATCTGTATGCTGCGTGGTGTACTGTCCAAAGTCTGCCAGTCTCTCAGAAAGAGCTTGCATTGCAGGGAGTGACACAAATAGCCGGTGCAACAACTACAAAGTATTTGCACCATCTCCCAGAAAGCCTTGAACACTTGACATTTGGCAATGAGTTTAACCAGTGCCTGGAAGGGGTGACCCTGCCAAGCAGTCTTCAGACCTTGACATTTGGCAGCGATTTTGACCAGAGCCTGGAACATGTGACCCTGCCAAGCAGTCTTCAGACCTTGACATTTGGCAGCGATTTTGACCGGAGCCTGGAACATGTGACCCTGCCAAGCAGTCTTCAGACCTTGACATTTGGCAGCGATTTTGACCAGAGCCTGGAACATGTGACCCTGCCAAGCAGTCTTCAGACCTTGACATTTGGACATTGGTTTAACCAGAGCCTGGAAGGGGTGACCCTGCCAAGCAATCTTCAGACCTTGACATTTGGCGAGTGCTTTAACCAGAGCCTGGAACATGTGACCCTGCCAAGCAGTCTTCAGACCTTGACATTTGGAGAGCGGTTTACCCAGAGCCTGGAACGAGTGACCCTGCCAAGCAGTCTTCAGACCTTGACATTTGGCCATGACTTTAACCAGAGCCTGGAACATTTGACCCTGCCAAGCAATCTTCAGACTTTGAAATTTGGATATCGGTTTAACCAGAGCCTGGAACGAGTGACTCTGCCAAGCTGTCTTCAGACCTTTACATTTGGCGAGTGCTTTAACCAGAGCCTGGAACGAGCGACTCTGCCAAGCAATCTTCAGACTTTGACATATGGATATCGGTTTAACCAGAGCCTGGAAGGAGTGATCCTGCCAAGCAGTCTTCAGACCTTGACATTTGGAGAGTGCTTTAACCAGAGCCTGGAACGAGTGACCCTGCCAAGCAATCTTCAGACTTTGAAATTTGGATATCGGTTTAACCAGAGCCTGG